AACGGAAAAAATGATAGTCATGCCGGCCCAGCATCCTCAACTTTGAAAAATGCCCCGGTCCAAGTGGTTAACGGTGAGCATGCCGTTGTATTACCCTTGTATTCAGCACAGTAAGATGGCCGCTGGTGGCTTCAGCGACCTATATCAGGTGATAAAGGTTATGCGTTCTGGCGTCTGCATGGTGTTTGAGAGGCTACTTTTGTTATTTTAATTTACAACGAATGCCCAAACAATTTACTCAAGCCCAGCCCACTGATACAAAACTCTTGCCCTCTAGAAGGGGCATTGTGAGTTCAGACTTCTAATGTGACATCAATGGATGTGCACAAGGTAGCTTTGATGGGGTCATGGTAAAGCCATGTCAACTTCACAAATAATAATAATATAATAATAATTTATTCATTTATAAAGTGCAAATTTCATATAGATATGTTCAAATGCACTGTACAATGGAGATTGAGATCAAGACATGTTTTGTCTCTGAAGGAGCTAGTTGAGATATTTGGCACATTTTAAAGGGAGAATAGTTGATGGGAGCCAACTTAGAACAAACTCAAATTTACCGTCTTGTTGACACATGACAGACCTTCCTGAAAAATGTCCTCAACAACTGCTTCAACTGGAAGCATTTAATATATTTTTCTTTACACAGAAGTTACACGTGAACTTCACAGTTTAAAAAAATCTAATTGGAATTTTAAACCGTAACCTATCAAATAAGCAATGATTTAAAAATAAATACATGTGTAATGAGAGCAAATGCAACTTTAGAAGCCAAGTGAATGAAAACATTTGTAAATGCCTTCTCTCTCATGAAGCAAAAAGAATTAACATTCCCAGTTGGTTGACAGTTACCGAGTATTTACACCTGTACACTGTGGATTTGGTTTTGTACACAAAATGACGTAATTTACTTCAGTTATTTCTAGCAGGCATACACCTGCTTTCTAAGCTGGATGTTGAACTGGTGGAAATCGATAGGGCACATACAACTTGGTTCATGAGCTTACCAGAGACACACAAATTTGCGTCAAATTCCTCTTGCTAATATATTAATTTTCTTTTCTTGCAAAACAATGAGCTTTGATATCTCCTGGCCAATCACAAGGCAGACAATCTTTCAATGAGATATTATTTTATGCATATAAAACAATTCAAGACATTACAGTGTTGCAGTTGAGACCTTCACAAGACCAGACACAAGACCAGACACAAGACCAGACACAAGACCATGCACCAGACCAGACACAAGACCAGTCACAAGACCAGACACAAGACCAGTCACAAGACCAGAGACAAGACCAGACACAAGACAGTGCACCAGACCAGTCACAAGTAACAGTGTGAACAATGACAAAGGAATGCTTTTGTTGTGGTTCATATGAATAGCTTGTAACACTAATTCCGACCTGAGGTCTTGTGTTGGTCTTACATGGTCTTGTGAAGGTCTTAAGTGGTCTCGGCTACAATGCTGGAACATTACAGAAGGGTTCACCCGACACAAAACCAACTTATTAGACTGACTTTTCAATACACTCCACGAACCCACAGTGAGAATATTAGGTGTAGTGAGAAAAAAACCCACCTGGTGAAAGTACCCATTTCATGCACCGTGCACGCTCTTTCAGGCTGGATTTTTGTTGGTTTCCTTGACAGTTCCTTTTCCTTTTGCTACAGGTAACCCTAACCAAAATCTTCCTCTCCATCTGTTTTCAAGAAAGGGGGGTAGCCTTGTGTGGACCTTGCTAACTCTGCACAAGATGTGTACAACCTTCAGTATGAGGACTTTTCTTGTCCACGGTCCACACTAGGTGTATAAGGTTGCAATAACTTTCTTGCATTCATACAGGGTACATCTCCTTGTGCAACGCCAGCTTTGTTACTGCTTTCTGGAAAGCACTGTTCATACACACACATTGTATACGTAGTGTGGACGTTCCCTTGTTTTGTGCGGTTAGGATAACTCAGTAAAAATAGTCCTTTTTCTTGAAATGGGAACACGATTTTCAGCTGTTTTTTTGTAAAAAGGTTTCCTTGACTGTTCCTGTTTCTTTTACGATGGATAACCCTAACCCCAAAATGCCTCGAAACCTTCTTTTTCAGAGAAGGGGAAACGTCATTTGGACATGGGTAAGTCCACAGAACATCTTCCCTTCCTGTATCGCGTGGACATCTTTCGTTCACAACTCCACATTAGGTACATGTATGTAAGGTTAGCGCACCAACTCCATGCAACGGAATGTCAAATCTGTGTTTTGACATATGCACTGTTTCTTGTGAAAACGTCGCACAACTTCTAAATGATCATGGATCATGCTGTCAAAATCAACAACTGAGTCCTTGTGTAAGGACAGGTGGTTCTAATTTATGCCAATCCTAGTACAATTAATGATGGTTAGACAAGTCTAGTTAATGTTTACAAGACAAGCCAGGCAGGGGTTGCTTGGTGGCTAGTTGTCAATAGCTGTAAGCATTACAATGTACCTGCAGGGTGTACGGATAATGAGGCTACGTCAAACTTAAGCATTTGCACAGGTACAAAGTCAAGGATCAGCCTACTAGCGGCTTTCTTTGTCAACTTTCTCAGGTCAGTAAAATGTTCTTGTTTTGACTCGCAAAGCCTCTGTTGCATATTTATTTGTTACAGAGCGGTCCTACTTGCTTCCGCTGGCAAACACCGACAGGTCCTCCTCTTCTCGAATCCCCATGCTCTATAAAAGAGAGGATTCACAAATCGTACTCTTACCAAACTCTCAAGGAATTTAGTCAGTTGAGATCAGTCTTTCAAAGTCCTCTATCAACTAAAAGAGCTGTTTTGACTTGTGAACAAGTGGAGTTTAAGATGAAGATCCCCTTACACCGCCGATCGTGACGGTGTTGTGTATTCATCAACACTATGGACACAATCTTAACTGGGCTGGAGTGCTCAATACTGTGCCGTCAACGTTTTGATACAACATCTTCAGACTCAGGGTACTCATTTTTGCGGATTTATAATCGGCATGGATAGACATCATGACACTACACACAAGTGATCCTAATTCAAAACCATTTTTTATTTAGGCAACATTATTTTTTACTCCAATAAAGGATGATTACGAAAAGTACTCACTTTTTGAATGAACTGAGGTGTGACAGATATCTCCTGCTCCATCTGTCGTAACTTCTCATCCAACATGATGCATTCTCGCATCTTGACAAAGAAAGGAAGTTAGACGATGTTACCGCCTTTAAAATGGACAAAGTGTTGCAGTTCCTACATCTGAAGCCATTTACCTATTTCCTCATAAATGTCCTTTTAAATTTATTTCTGTTCACCGAACAGCGCATTTGGCGACAATTACAGGACGAAGTGACGATTAAGAAAATGAAGAAATGTTCCGTTTTAGAGGTGGGAGGAAAACCTATGATAAATATTCCAGGGAAAACCTACGGAATCAGGTAGGACCTACAAATCCAATCCGCATGCTGATCGAGGTGGGATTCGAACCCGGGTCACAGATATGGAGGGCGAGGAAAGAACCACTACACCAATCTGAATACCCTGATGTGAATGTGTACATGTACATCCACATGAAAATACACTTGAAAATGAGAGAAACAGGACAGATAAAACTATGACGTCTGTATTTTAACTGTCTCACCTCTCCTTCCAAGTGTTTCAGTAACGATGGATTGTCATACTTCTCAGGGTTGTCATGGAAACTAACCATCCCATCTTTCTTGCTGATGCTGGCATAAATCTGCCCTTCCTCAATCTAAAGCAGAAACAAAAAAACCAAAGCAATTTATTCGAGTCTCACATTTGGTTGGGCAAACAAGGCTGTGGCTCAAACAATCTTCAAACAGCAATCAGAACAGTGGGATCCTCACCATGGACAGCACGTGAAGTTCCGCTTCCTTGGCTGAGTTGAGATGGACCCTCCTGGCAATGTCACTCAATGACAAAGTTAAGAATGTCTGCCAGGTTAAAAAAGTAAGGACGAATTATGTTGGAGGTGAGCTCTGATGGCTAGCAGTTAACGTTTCTAATGAATTTTAAAAAAAGTTGTAGATAAGGTAAAAATGCAGAAGCTGATACTTATCACAAAGAGGCAAAAAATCATTTTATTTTGTGATGTGTCCTACCTTTGTAAGCCTCTGAATGTTTTTAGCAAACATTGACGACTCGACTTGCTTCACCAAACCCATGTTCTGTTCCTGAACCAAATAGGAAGGCATAGACAAAAAACATAACATTTCACCAGAGAAGGTAATGTTTCCATAAGAAGTGAACTTATAATATGGAATACAAAATGCTTGACGAGACTTGGCTGCTGTGCACTTTTGTAAGAAATATTCCTGACTCCGTCGACATCCAATAACCTCGCAGTAATGTAACCTAAAAACACATCCCTTGCACATGCTCTCAAATAGAGCACATTAAAAACTCCATTTTACTGGTAGATAGACTCTACAGAATACAGCAAAATTGTTCAAACCCTGACATAACATTTTGATGGTTATAGTTTCATTAACCATAACTCCCCTGGAATAATTGCTCAGAACTTTCATTCTACCTCCAAAATAGGCCATGCAGAAACTCAATGACGCATTCCTTGCACATGTTCATTCAACTTTCAAGAAGCTTCAATCTTCAAGGAAACTAACAGTGGCCGGACTGTGGCTTCCTCAATCCTTCAAAATCCTCAAACAAGAGGATTTTCAGTAAGGCTGGAATGTTCATCAAATCAGTACATACATGCACACCCTAGTTTATTTCACAAGAATTCTGACCCAGAAAAACCGTGGAAGTTCTCACCCTTGTGAACTGATCGGAGTGTTTGAGGATGACCGTCCGGATGTCTTGAGGGTTGTTGGTGGTGTAGGCATTGGCCAGTTCATGGTAGGGTTGACTTAGAGGCTACAGAAAAAAAAAACCACTCAGAAACTTATTCTAAACTTCATTTAAGGAAATAAAGGCTGTTTATGAACACTGCCATTATGGATTCCAACTGAAGATAAATAATGTAACTCATCAAGACCCATATCTTGAAGTTCAAAGTTAACCCTTAACTACCCCAAGCTCCTCAAACTCCAAACTGTAGGTTTAGCCAAGTTTTGGCTCATTCAGTTCCCTACATTATGAACTTGTTGGATTGAGGGACAAAGGCCAAGGTGTTGGATTTTGTTGAGTGGGACACACAGACATCATACAAAATGAAAAGACTGGACTCACAATGCTCTTGTATCGACTGACACAACCAGCAGCAAACTCGCTGTGCTAAACACAAAGGCGATTGTTGCCTTATGTGCCACTGTAACTATTAGTTGCCACGAACGATTTAGGTAACAGCAGGCAAGCAAGCAAGCTGGTTCCAGTCAGAGCTTTAACGTGTGGTTTCCAACACTGCATCAAATAGCTGCAACCAGCCAAACTGAAGTCTCAGCCAAATCCAAGCGTTTCGAAAATGCCCTCTGTTAGGTTCAGTACTGCTTCTTGTTCAACAGTCGGGGAGGGGGGGTTGATAGATGAAAATTCATGATATAACTGCTGGTTCAAAATGGCCACTGGTCTATCTATAATAAAGCTTGCCTTCTGAACTTTGAGATATTTAGTGTTATCTGTTATCTGAAATTTGAATGACACATTTTCAGTTTTTGAGTGACATTTATGTTTGATGGACAGAAACCTAAAGTGGGTTTCCAGATGATCTTCACGTACATGTAAGAGTCGTTCCTTAAGAACTCTTTACAACTGAGCTGAAAATAAAATGAAAGCTCGACTGAATCCTTGACGTGTTTTACAGAAAACAGTTTTCAGTGACTCCAATACCTTGATGAAGCGACCAACCACTAGAGATGTGTACTTGGGAAGCACGGTCAGTTTGCCATGGTGGATCAGCGAGACTAGAATGTATTTCTTGTAAGCTTCTAGCATGATGTGGCTGACTGCTTGACTGGGTGTGGTTATCGCCTGAAAGTTGGAAGGCAAAAAGCAGACGGATGTGAGATATAACATTGACATTGAGTCTTATCAATAAAAATTTATTCATAAGGAAGTCATTTTTGATCTTGTTCCTTGCATCTGTTTTATAAATTGTAAACTACTGAAATAGATGGTACCAGGCTGTTTCATGATTGGCATGTGTGCTAAGCCTCCCTCCAATATTTTTTCAAATCTGGTTCAAAACACTAGGGTATGTTTTTTTATCAGAGTAGACAAGTGCTGACTGGTTATATAAAATTTCACATTACTGCTTTCATTCCTATTCTGAAATTATGAAAATGAAAGCGTTAACCTCCTTTTTCAATTTCAATTTGGCAGATCCGTCAGTAACATCTTTTATCTGTTAGGGCATTAAAACATCTGACAACACATTCAAATTGTCATGTTTGCGCAGGTGATGAACTCCCCTCAAGAGATCCGAGCTAAAACGTCTTTAGACTTGTTTCTTACCACTTCAAAGAAGTAGACAGCTCTTCCCCACTTCTTGAGAGCTGCATATATCATGCCACCATAGTAGTAGTAACAAAGAAAGTGGGTTGCATCAAACAAACCACCCTGCCAGTAAAAAAAATTAAGACATCTCGTATTACAACTGAAGTACCTCCAAGGATACTAAACTCTCCAGTCTTCAACCACTCCTTTCAAATCATCAACTTTATATAATATCCATCAACTGTACAATGTACATGTATGCAGCGTTTTAGCTAGCGAGCCGTGCAGCCGTATTTTGCACGGCCAGTTTTGTGAAATCACGGCCCACTTTACGTACCTATTGACTTTTATTAGTGGTAAGTACTGTCTGTGCATCTGCGATCTACTGTTTTGAATATTCTGAGAACTCAACTGACAAGATTGTACCTCTTTGCTGATGTCAGTGATGTCCACGTCCAGGAAAGGTAGAGCAGGCTTCATACACTTGGCTAACAGACACAACTGAGGATGAAACAAGTTCAAGTTATTGATGCTATAACGATCCGTGTGTAGAGCATGCACGAATTCTGCATGGATTTCCTAGAACGTAACAAATGTGGCCCAAGCTTAAACAAAGACTGAGTCACAAGCCATCAAGACAGTTTCATCAAGATGCCAAACTGAGTGATACCAGAAGTACTTTGGGAATCATAATTACTGAAAAATAAGGGTCCATTCCTAGCATGACATCAAAGGCCAACATGAATTAATTGTAGGGCTGAATAATTCACTATTCAAATATTCGACCATCAATTTGATCGAATATCCAAATATTTGGTCATACCGACCAGCAGAATGTTGATAAACAAACCATATACAAAATCAGTTGCAATAACACATTACTACAATGTAATTGTACATTATGATCAATATAATAGCTTCTCACATCTAGGAGCATCTCCAGCCACGATTTAGCAAGATTTAAGTGATAAGACTTCTTGCCCTGTTGAAATTTCTGTTCTTTTTAAATTATTTAATGCAAAATTTACTTTTTAAATCATTGTAAGATTTCTGACACTTTTCATTCGAATCTGCTTGAAACAAGCCTCCATAGTGCAATTTTTCTCATTTAAAACAAAAAAAAATTTTCCCTTCCTTTTCATGAATTTTGCATTCAAATATTTAAATTTGAAAAACAACATTCAAATTTGTCCCATGCAAACGTCTATTCTGGACAAACTGGTTCCCTCGGTCAGACTCTGTCGAGTGACTGTTTTTTAACTGTTCAGACTCCAGAGCTTACTTAAAGCAGAATTGACTGATTATGACTTAATACTGAGAGATGTAGCCGTGCTTCGACTGTCGATGATTGAAAAGTTGACAAAATTCATCTGGTCACAGTACCAACCTCAACTGGGATCTGATTATTGGTAAATGGCCTGGGTTTAAAAAGAAGCAGGGGAAAGTGAATGGAATTGTCTGTGACTGAAGTAGCCAAAGAGGGTTAACGACATCACATTAAAGTGACAGTGGTGCATAACATCAGTGTAGTGATATATACCCATTTGAATGAAATTTTTTGCAAAGGCAGGTCTTGTATGACATTTTGTCTGCAAGGACAAAATTCCATGACACTAGAATTGTTCACCAAGGTTCAAAAGCCTGTATCATGAAGGCAATACAGGTAACATTAGTATTTATCCAAGTGGATTTGAAGTTTTTCAACAAAGAGGTTTGGCAACACTATGAAGAAAGTCAAGGAACATCAAAGTGCATCACGTAATACTCCACATGTACCGGTACGGTGCTAGCGCTTCAGCGATGCAGCCAATGCGATGACTTACGAGATACTGTCAGCACCGCGGTGAGGCTTATACGACGGTGTGGCTAATACGCTGACTTTCAACCTTAATTTGCAGGTTTTTGCATGGTGCGGCTTACATGAAAACACCGCACGGCCTACATTCCAAATATTACAGTAATTCAACTGCTACCATTACAGAACTGCAGACGACTACACATCATGCAAGTCCAGGTTAACGAGTGGAGACATACCTGGCAAAGGTCGGCATGGACGGATGTCAGTTGGGCGGTGTGCATCTGGATCTTACTGATGGCTTTACAGAGAATCTCAATACCTCTCAGATACTGCTTCTTGTCAATTAGGACTCGGGTGAACTGATGTGCCAGGGTGGCATCTGAAGCAAACAACAAAGCCTGGAGTGAAAGACTAGGGTAAGGGTAGCCATGTGTAGGCACATATACTGAGAATAAGCCATTTAACTATTACTTGTTGTTTTAATTGTACAGGTTAACCTTATCAGCTACAAATTTGCTTTCCATAAGGGCCCTCATTCAAGTTACATGAACATTCATTAAAAACCAATAATTATAATAAGTTAAAATGATAAATGTCATTAACACAATAATTATCAAAAGACAAAACAATCAACACATATTACAGAATGTGTGAAACGAAATCCAAGACCTTAAATCTTGTAAAATCACCAATAAAAAACATTGTTTAGAGGCAAAACAAAAGGTTAGTCAGGCACAACTCAAAAGCCAGAATTTCCTACTTGCATATGGCAGAGACATGGTAACCATTCTAACCACCAACTACATGTGCATGTACCATGCTTACATGTGCTTGTGCAAAACCTGAAAAAAAAACCCTTTCATCCATGCAGCCTCAAAGCAGGCATACACATGTACATTGTATGTTACTTGACAAGAGATACGTGTGTTCATGTCTATTGGCAAAGGACAGACTACAGGGTTGTTCAGTGTTCAGAAAACAGATTGGACACAATTGAGTTTGAAAACTTACAGCTGTCTGTTGCAAAGCGGACTTGCTCCCCGTTGCACATGCTGAAGAAGAGATGCGTCTGAGAGAAGAGGGTCTCAAAGTCAGGGGCAGAGCCCGGTGGCAGGGTAAATTTGACATTTCTAGAGGGGGATATGATCAGGGTGGAAAGGAAGAGACATTTACATGACCCAGGCCCCCCAAAAAATTTAAAATTGAACGTCATGACGCTTTCCTAAAGAAGGGGGAAAATGTGATGGTATTGTGGTATGTGATAAATAAAAACAGACATGTTTAATGATGAGGGCAACTTCTATGTACATGTAGAGACTGTGGCAAAAGCTGATCAAAACAAAAATACAAACAAGACAACACATACATGTATACATGTACCAATACAAGATCTAAGGACAACAATAAGTGAATACAAATTAGTCATTAGGCCCCCAAAAGTCTCTGGTTTCTGGTCAGGGGCTGGCTCCATAAGTAGTGAGGCGACATGGCTTTTTTTTTTGCCATGATTTTTTTCCCTGGAAATGACATCTACATGTACGTGTGTTTGTATGTATGTACTACCTCTATGAACACTGAAATAGACTGGCCCCCTCACTATTTACAGTTTAAAGCATTTTCAGCGTACAGTAGATGTACACGTACATGTACACAGGACTTAAGACCACCTTGTTTGTGTGGTTCCCAGATGTAAAAGTATAATACAGAAACGATGTCATCTGAAAAAGAGTGCCCGACTAAATGTACAAGTATGGGGCCTACAGAAGGACTCCTTTACTGTACCTGTTACTCAAATACATCCCATCTCAAACATGTTGAAATTACACAGTAGAAGCATTCCAGTTGATCAAGCAAGTTTGGCAGCTTTTGGACATCGTATCATACCAATAAAAAAACTTGTTTATTTTGCCAATGTGCAGGTCTGTGGCCAAGCACACACTGACCAGAAACTGAAGACTTTTGTTTGGCCTTACAGAGAATTAAATAAGAAATAAATGAATTGATGAAATAAATGGCAATTTTACACAAAAACGAAGGCAAGAATGGTGTGGTTATTACAATCCAGAAAAAAAGTCATTTTTATAAAAGCGAACACCCCCAAAACATCTACAAAGCCTCACCATTTTGTCATTATTATTATTATAAAGTAAAACTAATCTTATTCAAGGAGTTGTGTTAACTTACAGAACAGCGAGGACACCCAGTGAATGCAGCTGTGGGTCCAGTGTTTCTAAGATCATGTCCAGGTTTGAAGCATTCTTCTTGAGAAGCTCCAAACTCTTGTTAATCTCCTCGCACAGCTGGGCAAAGTTTCCTGCCATATCGGATTCGGATGTGGTAAAAGACTGATTAGGACCAAGAATAAGGGGAACAAACCCACTTTCAGTGTTTCTAAGATCATGTCCAGGTTTGAAGCATTCTTCTTGAGAAGCTCCAAACTCTTGTTAATCTCCTCGCACAGCTGGGCAAAATTTCCTGCCATATCGGATTCGGATGTGGTAAAAGACTGATTAGGACCAAGAATAAGGGGAACAAACCCACTTTTGCATCTTCCACAACTCAGCGTGGTCCATAACAAGTGGCAGCCAGCATTCGAGTGAAGTCACATCATACAGGTACATGTACATGCAGTGCTTGAACTGAACAAGCAGCAAGCACGTACACTAGATGACATGACCAGTGGCACGCGCACCCCCAGGATTTGTTGTGGGAGAGGGGGCTCCGACCACAACTTCCCCCTCAAATAAAAAAGGTACATGTAGCTCATGATACACGAGCCTCCCCCCCTCCCCCATTGCACCACAGGGACTGGGATGTACATGTAATGTAATGTACATGCAAGGCCATGGTCTAATAACATGTAATTAGTCTTTGCTCAAGTTGTTACAATACAATTCTGAATACAATGGAACACGGTTACATTGTACGTGTAATTTGTATATTATTTTCTCATGAAAGGGGTCTTGCACTGGTTGTTCCATGCAATTTCAAAGTAACTATTAGGCGCAATCAGTCATTCAGCGTACATGTACATGAACTCGTAAGTGCTTTGTGCTATAAAATCAATCCTGTACGAAATCTCCAACTTTACTTCCCTTATTTGAAACAATGTTCCACAGAAATGAATTTGTCAGAAAAGGCAATCATCCGAAAGCACAATTTATGAAAGGTTCTGTAGTACAGCACGTTCGAGATTGCATGGAAATCAAGTGATTGATCACACGGAAATCAAGTGATTGCGCAGGTTGACTGACCATGCCCAATATGACATTATGCAGACAATTTTTCTCAGAGTCTCTGCTCTCCACCTTTTTATGGCTGAAGTACGAAAATTAAAGTTTTCCCAAAATGAAAGCTTTCCAATAACTAGTTCTACGCACAAACGCATGTGCATGTGACGGCACTGAACCAAAATCGTTCAATTTCATTGTCCCTGTTGACCTTTTTGCAGCAGTGATCAGTCTCAGCGAGCTCCTCTTCCATCGCAACGAAACTGGCAATAGAGCACTGAAGTGACTATGTCACGTGTGCATTTGTGTGCGTGAAAGGCATTAGTGCGGCCCCGTTGCTAAGGGGAGCCCGAGGGGGCCGGGTCTCCCCCAGTAAAAAGTATAGCAAAAAGAATATCTTAAGACATTCTGTAAATGAGCGACTAACATCAGATTCTAAAAATGAGAATAATCACATTCGTGTTGGCCTAGACCGCCAAGTATAACTTGCATACACATCAGGCATGCCTCAAACGCCAGTGCAGTTTAGTAATTTCCACAGTGCTGGGCACATAAATCAATCAAGATCGTTGGTTAGTGAACTCTGACTGTATGCAACTGATGCATATGTCTTAGACACGTACGCTAATATGTGAAGAGTACATGTACGTTCAGTGTAGAGTACACTTTTACATGTACATGTATGTGTACGGAACATGTGTGACATGTACATGTAAGTGTACGGTACATGTGTGAAATCTACAAGTAAGTGTACGGTACATGTGTCACAGGCATACATGTATGTATGTGTACGGTACATGTTTGACATGTGATATGGCCCCCTAGCTGATGTGACCCCCTTAATGCCTGAAGCTGGCAACAGAGCTGCATCAGTGTGAAAACTAGGGCGTGAACCAACACATGCGCATACTCCATTCGTTTGTGCTACATGTACACTTCTTGGTTCAACATGACGTCGAAATTCAGTACTCTTTATCCTTTTAAGACAGGAAGTATCTCAGTATGTAATGTACAACGTACCATGTGCGGGATGTACAGTGTATCTGTTACAGGACCCACTGCATGAAAAGGCATTGGATATTTTTGTTACGGCCCTGATATGCTTTCACTGTTTTGCAGGCACAGCAAATGAGCATGCACAGTGAGTGTTCTGGATACTTACAAATTTACAGCAGCAAATCTTTGTCTGGTTCCATGCTTACACTGACGTTGTAAATTCATTTCACAAGCTCACAATTCAGATCTGGCACAATTTCTGACTTGTTCCCCTTAATTAAAGAAGTGAAATCTGCTTCCCTTCCCTTTGACTTTTTTCTCATCTCATCTCATCGCAGTGCAGTTTTTTCATGAGTCGAGCCTTAAGGAGTTTTAAAATTTTAATATCATGCGGTCATTTTGGCACAGATGATGTGAAAATACCATTCTTGCGCAGCATTCACATTTCCAAGACTAGTCAGCCAAAGATGTACACCCTCTTCCCTGACGTGCTTGACCCACAAAGGCTGACACAATTGTGGCCTTGAACTTTAATTGACTGTAACAACAAAATTGTATGTCAGATCCAGTTGAAACTTCACATTTGTACTGATAAGGAGTCTCTTTACATGCAAGCTGAGTTAAAAAAGAAATCAGGCACGCGACAGGGGTCTCCATGGGAGAGGGAGTAACATCCCTTCCTCAGCGGCGAGATGATAAAAAAAAAATCTGGCTGTAAATGTTTCAGCAGGTTTAGGGTAAAAAAAGACCCCTCCAGAGCCACAAATCATGAAAAGAAACTGCAATATCCCGCAGATGTACAGTATTTCAAGAATCAATTTAAAAAAGGATGATCTGTGAAAAAGCCTCCCAAATGAGTGCAGTGGGTCTTGAACCAAGGTCTCTTGAGTATTGAGCAGTGCACTGCCACCACTTGGCCACATGTTGACTCAGGCACAAAGAATGAATTTGGTTGTATTGGTTCCATGCCAGGGGACAATCCAGGGGGCCGTGGGGGGGGTACATGCCCCCATTTTTCTCCCCAAAAATAAAGAAATAATTAAAAAGAGAAGAAAAATCGGGAGGGGAAAGAAAAAAGAGGGAGGGACCCAGCCCCTAAATGTGACAAAGGCGTAAAAATAAAACCAGCTCTGCTTCCAGTTACCCAACCTCCCCAATTTTACGGCCGCAACCCTAAAAGTTTGAGTTTGTCCCCTCCCCCCACTTGGAAAATCCTGGATCTGCCCCTGCATGCTGATGTTTGAGGAGAAAAAAGCGAAACCTTAAATACGTTTTGGGTGAGATTAGTCAATCAGCACAGCCACATAATAACATTGAAACGCTATCAGTTGGTCATATCAGTTGATAAAATCTCTGATTTTACTTCCGTTTTTCAAAATAATCTTACATAACTGTGAACGTTAAAGAAAAGGCCAGTGGGTGATGATAGATTTATTGGTATATTATGCAATAACATTGTTCAGTTCAATTTTTGAAAGTTTGCAAATGCAATTTTCAAAGTTTGCATGACCTGAGAAACAGTATTACCACTAAGATTGCGCACGGTGATAAAAATTGCATGGTACATGAATAGTAGGAGCAGTCTTACATAAGAGACGGACATCAACTACACGTTCAATTTACACAAATTCAATTTACATGTAAGTGTCGCGTCTGTATTCTCAGGTCCTTTTTGCACATGATTTGTGACACATCATAATGTACAAATAGAGCATGGCACTTATTGGGCACGGGTACACGCCTGGTGCGACTTGTCAGACAAATTTTCGCCCATGAGTTGCAAGATTTTGTATGAATATTGCCTCGTAAGAGCTATTAAACTCCCCTGTTGACATCTAGACCAAACTTTACTTCCCCCTAATAGTCTCCTTAAGAGCCGTTAATTAGCAAAAAAATCTGAGAGAAAAGAAGGATTCCGGACAAAACAAATAACAATCAGAGAAACTACAGATTTTTTACACAACCTCCAAAACAACTAGTTTGTACTAGAATTCTAGCCTTTACACCGGGCAGCACTCAGTTTCCTAACTTGACAGGTGCTCATCCCAATAATTGATACAGCTGGAGACTTCTGAGGGAATGGGAACCAGTCTTTATCTGGGCATCCCCACCTGGTCGAACGGTAACCATTAATCATGACTCCCTTAAGAAATTTCACATTTCGGGGCACAAAAATTGGACACGTTCAGAGAGTGCACTTAACACTACCTGCCTAACCTACATGTCATGCATGTACATGTAACTGTGCAAGTTACACAAATTTCAAATTTACGCTCTTTGAAAGACTGTGCTGAACGTCAACAGATCACCCAAAGCTCAAGCAGTTACCCAGGCCAGATGGACTGATTGAACCCAGCAAATATCAATAGCACTTCAGCACAAAAATGGTAAAGGCATACCGTATATGTAGTTCAAGAACTCAAAGCAGCCAATGTCACTAACATTAGGTCTACTCTGTGTGAGTATAACAGAGTATTGACTCGAGTTCTCCAAGTAGTGAAGGCACAGTAACTGCAACTGCTCCTAGAGTCCTAGTCTCCTCCAATTCCCCCAGATTTGTGGGGTCCGACGTCCGCGTCTCTTCGTGGGAGAGGAGCTAACGTTGGACCCCACAGTTCTGGGGGTAAACTGCTCCATGACCATGGCCTAATGTTGGGCCTAAATTTCATTTTATTTTTAACATAACAAAATGACAACAAACATGTCAATGTCATCATGTAGCCTGATAATAACATGGTTTATTGTTCATGTTGTTATAAGCATGCTGAGTGAGGGCTCATCACCGCAGACGATGGAAATCTTGGACTAAGTGTCTTCATACTCACCCTCTGTCGATAGTGTTACGACAGAATTAACAAATCCTTCTACCTGCGATGCCATTTTAAGGACAAAACGTGCGCTTTATTCTTGGTTTCTGTTGCGCATTCCTGGTGCTCTGCTGCTGAGATTCGACTGCTGATGGCCACACTGAGCGCGCCCTCTACGTCCCAACTTGATTTTCTTGTTACGGCCGTGACTGTGGCATGTGCTTGTACATGTACGTACATATACTATTTACGCGAACGAGTAACATGTAACACTCGCTAGCGAGCTAGCTGTCTGCGCACAAATAATCCGACCACTCTGTAGCAAGCTGCACGCAGGTCAGCGCTGTTTACCTGGGCTTGAGATGTGACTTTATTGCGAGTTCTACTGACAGTTTTTTTTCTTTTTCAGCTGAAATGAGCAAATATATTTTCAAAATGCACGTCGTTTGCCTGCTAGACATGTCGGTGAGTAAATGAAGAATGCATTGATGATGCCACTTTGCCAGTGTATTAAAAAGTGAAATTGACGTTGCCGGCCCGGCGTTTGCACACGAAACCAACGACAAAAATTGGACGCAACAAAATCAGCTGAAAAGCTAGGATTTACAGTTAAGCTTGTGCTCGGTTTCAACTACACTGAAATTTGTGTCTCGAAATTAAAGGGAAACAAATATGTATTAGTCAACAGTGATTAGGCTAAAAGTTAGAATGAAATTATGTGGGCAAATTGTAGAGCATGGCCTAAGCATGCCAAGTGGAATTAAGTTTGAAAAAAGCAGTGTAAAAAAATTTGGAAATTAGGCATAAAATTAGGCTGCAGCCTTTGCAGGACTCTTTAATTGCTCCATTTGAACAAAGCTCCATGAAGCTGACCAATTATGATTATGTATTAGGCCCAAGGTTTACTATTTTTATTTTCATTTCATTTGCTTTTTGAATCAAAATGTATTCAGTAATTGGATTTGGATAATTAGAGAAGATTTAATGAAGCCTTAAATCCAGGACTGCAAACCATTTACATGGAAGTCCAAAATGGGAGAGAAATTGTTGAAAAATTTAAATACATGTGGAAAAATTTGTTGAAAAAATTGCATGTACATTCCCCTGTCCCCACAACCCCCTAAAATTTCTGCTACAAATAAACTGCTGGCAGTTTGGTTCATTCCAGTTTTCACAACATTGACAAATAGTCAAAAGAGGATGTATACATCTAGTGTTCAGCCCTTGATTTCAGACAATGAATAGGCAGGACATTGTACAGTACATGTGGGTAATACCAGAAATTAGGGGTTCATTTTTTGTGTGTCCCTGTCACATCTGACATGATTCTGTAAGTTCAGAACACATTTTCTAATTTCCAGCAGTGATGAATTAATGCAGATTACCTGCCAAACAAATAGTAATAGTTTGGAATCAATTCCGGTGGTATTTCCATGTCAAATAACAAAGCTCATATGTAACAAGGACACAAAAAATCACTCTTTTGGCATGTTTGGACCCCTGATTTCTGGAATTACCCATGTACAAGCATGCATTGTAGCTCACTGTTTTTTGTACATGTATAGTACTAGTGCATTCCAGCACATGAATTCAAACCTGCTCTGAGCTTCCCTATACACTGATACGTGTACATTGTAGGTTATCTCATGGAAAAATGGTGATTTTTACAACAAATGAGTACCTGTCATGCCTGTGGGCTTGTGAAATATTGCTGATTTAAGTTCTGAGGAACTTGAGTCTGCAGTATGCCAAACAGAGGTACATGTATACAGGTCATTCCACGAGGTTGGGGCACAATTTGTGACGGTGTCTTTGTTACATGGGTAACTTTTACCACCTGTCATGACCTGTAGAGTAGGTCATTTACTCTGTAAGAATAACACACACCTCTGTATTCAGCCTTGCAAGATGCATAACAATTTAATTTGGAATCCACATGCAGGGAAATACCGGGTAGCTTTACAGAACCCATGTATGTGTAACAATGGACACCGTCACAAATTGTGCCCCAACCTCATGGAATGACCCATACAGCCACTGTGAACTTGAAAAAGACGAGTATAAAAAAAGAAAAGACACAAGCCAAAAAGCCTTTTCAAAAAACCTTTACTGCGATCCGCTTGTATAATGTACATGCATGTATACCACAAATCTGTGGCTTTGATGTGGCACCAATCTGAAACCCAAATGAAGGAGATTAGACATGGAAATAGAAACCGTTGATGTAAAGTATGCATAATTAATTACATGTGAATATTGCCAATGTTTAATCTAGATGACAGCCACCTTTTTGGAAAGTCTCTTAAGGTACCCAGGCCCTCTAAGAAGTGCTAAGTTTAGAGCCCATTAATACTTGTACGCCTTCCAAAACAAGGTCATCATTTCTCTTCCCTTTCTGTCAGAAGTTTCATGTAATTGCAGAGAAGGTCCGTAACCTCAGACTGTACTTTCACAGCCTTCACAGGAGTTCTTAATTTTGAATATTACATATATGGTGGGAAGCACGTTTCACTCCATGTTCACGTAATCCATGTACATGTACATCATGCATCATTGACATCACCACCTGTGGACTGTAGTGTGTGCACCTGAGGGAAGTTGGTTTTGGCAACCATGTACATGTACACTGTATGTTTCGATTTTACACAATGTAAATAGCATAAGTGCATGACTTTTTCTTTCTTTGTCTTTTCTTCACAAGCTTAAAGTCTTTTTTTTGTAATGATAATCAGGACATCAGAGTTAGTCCCATTTACATGCACCGGTACAGTACATGTATGTACATGGATCCTAGTCTAATTCCCAAGCATGCACTCTCTCTATTCCATCACGTCCACAAGCTTCTTGGCCTTCCACATTGCCCCAGCATTGTTTGCTGGCTGAACTGCCTGGTGTTGCCGTGACAACACCTTTTTATTTGAAGAGAAAATTGCCTTGTGTCAAGGGGAGTGTGTGGGAATAGGTTGGCGTGCCGTGGGCGCACATGCTTTATACAGCGTGGCCCTGAGTGGATGATTACTGCCGAAATGCCGAATGATAATGACAAGGGGGATATGTGTACAGGGTGGCACGTACAGCGTAGAGGCTGAGGGAAACATGAGGACAATTACCATTAATGTTAGATGTTGAGTAACTGCTGCCAAGATGTATATATGAATAGTGATATGTACATGCAGGAGGAACCTATTTCAGGTGACTTATGTTTCCACTTTGCACACTGATTACAGTAGATGACTTTCTGTAGTCGTTATGGCACATTTTGAAGAGAAGCTGTACAGTTGCAACCAATAAGGTACAGTGTATGTACAACACAAAATGTACCGGTTGGTGTTTAGCCTGCATAAGGGTTTACCCACTAGGCCGACAGACAAAAGGCGAGGGTTCCCCTTGTTTTCTCTGTTTTCACAGAATGCCGCAATCTACGGGTACATTCAGAATTGGTATCTACATGTAGGTATAAACAGAAAAAAGCCCTTTTTAGCTTGTTATAGTTGAGCTCTGAAGACAAATGACATTGTGTTTGATTTGGATGCTTCCATATTTTTGAACAGCAAAAAAATCAGAGAAAACATGTTTTTCCTTAGAGGTGCTCTTTAATTATAGCAAAATCTAGTACTTTTCCTTCAAGTGTTTCTTATTTTAACTTGATGTATAAGTTGTACATGTATTGAATTGCTTTTGTGGGAATTCAAATGTAAGTTGAGGGACAAATTCTCAAAAATCAATTACCAAAGTTTCAAAGAAAACACTGCAGAATAGAAATAAGATATCAATAAAATTTAATTCTATTAAACAAATAAACCATATGTAAATGAAAGTAAAGAAGACGACGAAATCACGACAATAATTAACTTAAATGTAGCTAAAACCAATTGAAATTAACTCCACTCACATAGTGTAAAATTAAGTATCCTACATGTAAGTATTAAGTATCCTCCATTTAAAAAAAAAGACTTTCACAATTTCTTTTAAACTTCAACTCTTCGATCCCTTTTCTTCTATTCAAATATTTTCTTCCTTTCCACTCACAAGTGCCGACAAGTGTCGATATATTAATTTAAAGCAACTTATTGACTGATCGATAAGGAATTAAACATTATGTAAAAATGTCTGTGGTGGGCCCACCAACTTTTGATCTGCACTTCCCACGATCCTCGGTCATCTTCCTGTCATCACTCGGAAGTGGTTGCTGAACCATACCCCTCGTCAAGACAAGTGTCTGCCCGCTACCGTCTTGCTAGTTACACACCTGGTAGGTGCTGTCTGTGCTTTAACTCTCCGTTTGGTGGGTTGTCTGGGTTAATTGTTGGCCCAAAAATATTTGTCTGAGTTCACCGTCTCTATGGCCTAGTGTTCTGAGCCATCTGGAAGTTACCAAATTTCACTTAAGGTTTCAAAACCCTGAATACTCAATACTTCAATCAAAATACATGTATGTGTTCATATGATTTTGTTCTGGTAGCATTGACAAACATCGTTTTGCATCAAATTCCTTAAAAAGGAAATAAACTGAAATTACTCAAAAACTACTTGCTCTAAATTCAGTTTAGTCCTTCATCATAATTTTACAATATCCATATGCATAATTACATGTAACATATCTCAGAAAGAAAATGACGCATCAGTGACGTATCTCAGAAAGAAAATGACGCGTCAGTGACGTATCTCAGAAAGAAAATGACGCGTCAGTGACGTATCTCAGAAAGAAAATGACGCATCAGTGACGTATCTCAGAAAGAAAATGACGCATCAGTGACGTATCTCAGAAAGAAAATGGCGCATCAGTGACGTATCTCAGAAAGAAAATGACGCATCAGTGACGTATCTCAAAGAAAATGATGCATCAGTGACGTATCTCAGAAAGAAAATGACGCATCAGTGACGTATCTCGGAAAGAAAATGACGCATCAGGGACGTATCTCAGAAAGAAAATGACGCATCAGTGACGTCATGGAATTTAAAAGAACAAAAGGCTCTATGCAACCGTTCTCACAATCTGGATAAATTTTTAAAGTTGACAATTTCAACAAAATATGCACAAAAGTTCAGAATCTCTCAGGATATTTCTTCTAGAAGACATAAACAGATATATACTCACGATAGATTGAGCTAATTTGGTGGCTTAGAAAGGAAAAATGTGACACAATCTGCAGCAGGTTTGTGTCA